TCGGGTACCGTGGCTTGTTGGTAGCCCTGCCACTTTGAGGATCGTATGTCCCCTCAAGTCATGAGTTTGAATCCCCCCGTGTGTAGAGTGTGATACTCAAATATTTAGAACACATAGGGATGGTTGGGGCTCATATAATAGCCTTCGACCAATTCTCATCTCACCCTAACTCTCTCCATTCCTTGTTGAACTTTCTCCCTCCCTCTCTTTATATATATATATATATATATATATTCACACACACAAACACACACACACTTGATGAGTATTATTTTTAAATAATTTAATTAACTACAAGTCAGCAAATATTTTTAATCAATTAAATTTATTAATTAAAAAAATAAATAAAATATATTAAATTATATTTAAATAGCATTTTAATATAAATAATAAAATTTAAATCTCACATGAACCCTTAACATCTTATGGTTGTGTGACTGTAGTTGTCAAAACAGTTCTTTGTTTGCTAAGCAAACGAGCGGAACACTAATAATTTTTTTTTTTTTCAAAATATAATGAGCCGAAAAAAACAACGGTACTTTTTTTAACAAGCGGAACAAGAGTTGTGCCTAGACTTTCGTGTTCGGCTCGTTTACACATTTAATGGTGTTAGAAGCTCCTCATATAGGGGTCGATAGTAGACAACCATACCAAAGCAGTCGACCGTGGACTCAAGCTGAAGAAGCCAAATCCTGGTGAGCAAAGATTAGTAGGAGCCGATCGGCAACCCCCAAGTCAGTGCTGTCAGTCAAACAATCATTGCCGACCTAAGGCATGCCAATCTCAGACGACCGAGTGATAAAGTAGCCTAGCCTTAAACTAATTTATGTAAATACCAAAATCACCCTGTATACAACAAAAATGCCAGAACAAATCTCAAGAATCACATGACTCATATGGAATTTCGTGAGATTGAAGTTTTGTGCTGAAACACAAGATGTGGACTGAAAGCGATCGAACGTACAACAAAATCAATCGACTCTTATCGGCCGAGCGACCTGATCTGGAGTTGGTCGTGTGACTACACCCGGTTGACTAGAATCTCTAAGGAATCGATTCGACGATCAAACAGAGACGGGCGACACCAAAATAACGGTCGATCAATACTCCTCTTACTTATATTTTTATAATGATGTATTGCTAAATGGAGACTTAATTTTTTCTCTCTTAGGCCCAAATCTCACACTTGTTCACAGAAGACAACTTAGATTTCAACATTATACACTTTTACCAATCCTAAATCTTATAAATTAAATCATTTACCTTTTAATTACATTAATATTTGACTAAAATATTAATAATTTAGTAAATTGAGCACAACAATTTATAAATATTATCTATAATAAAAAAAATAAGAAAGACGGGATTTTAAAATCCCGTTATCCTCCATTTTTTATAATAATTTCGAAAATTTGGCCCCTTCTCCTTCCGCAGTCTACAGGAGCGAAAGCTCGCACTTCCGACTGCGGCAGATATGAATAGAGCGGAAGATGATATGAAAGTAGAAGGAAAAGATGAGCGATCGTCGATGGCTTGCCGCGCTGTAGAAATCTGGACGTTGACCTCACTGATCGGAGCTTACGTCGACCTAACCCTAGCGTCACTCTTCCTCGTCGGCGCCACCATAGCCTTCTTCGCTTCAAAACTCCTTTCCCTCTTCAGCCTCTCCCTTCCTTGTTCATGCGAAGGCCACTTCGGCCATCCCGCCTGCGCACAAACCAGATTCCTTATCGATTTTCCCGCTTCCAGGGTCGCCGGCGTCCACCGCTCTCTCCGCTCTCGCTTCCCTTACGAATCCCTTCTTTCAGACGGCGCTTCTTCTTCTCATCGCTGCCGGTATGCTGTTCGCTTACCGAGTGATGACAGAGGCTCCTGTACCACCGCTTCACTATCCCATCGATCGCGCAGCATTAGCCTCCCGACGCCGTCGACCTCACACCCCCGCCCGCCGGCGTCGCCCGCGGCTCGGGGATTCGATGTCGAGTTTGGAAAAGTTTCCACCGGCTTCGGCTGAGAGGGTCTCTGCTGGTCTCTGGAATTTTAATGCGGATGGTGAGCTCTAATTATTCTACTGTGATCAGTTTTATCGGGAAAAAAATTGACAGGGAATGTTGACCATGGAATAGAAAAGAAGATTCATTTCATTTTTGATGTGATGTTGAAATAAAAAAAAAAAAGATTGTAAATGTTATCCTTCTTTTGAATAATCGATTCTCATAAGAAAAAAACGTTGTTAGGAAATTGAAACAATAAATTTTGATTATTTTTTTGGAAAAACATAGTTGGAATATTTTTTATAAATGTTTAAGTGAATATCTTTATCTCCATTTCTACTTGTTCATGCTTATGAAGTGTTTTCTCATTTTAAAATAGTTGTATTCATTCTCTTTCAGTTTTAAAAATTTCTTTCTTAGATTTAACTACAAATCTGAGTGCTTAAGATTTCTTGGCTGTTGGATTGAGTGAGAAATTGATGTAACCTAAAGAATGATAACTAATGGTCTTTTGGCCTGAAGTAAAGTTTGTGAACTATATAGAGTTACTTTACTTAATTGTTTATCACTTCATAAATTTTAATTAAAAGTGAACCCAATCAATTTTATCACAGTTATTTGCATGCATTTATTTATACCACATTATAAATTTATAAAATAAAACCAACATCTGAAGTTTTGTTGATGAGTTGATTTTTTGTTGGCTTGTGAATAGGGAATGATGCAGGTTTGGTTGAAGAGGTAGTAAATGGAGAGAAGGATTCCAGGTCCAATGTTGGGGGTGCGGGTGAATGTGATGGGGGGATATTTGATATGACGAGGAGTTTGGAAAGGGAGCTTGGTGATGAGCAAGGAGCCCTTGCTGCTCTTTACCTAGAATTGGAAAAGGAAAGGAGTGCAGCTGCCACTGCTGCAGATGAGGCCATGTCAATGATGCTTAGGCTTCAAAAGGAAAAAGCTGAAATAGAGATGGAGGCTCGACAGTATCAGCGGATGACTGAGGAGAAATCTGCTTATGACAAGGAAGAAATGGAAATCCTTAAAGAGATTATTGTAAGTCGGGAAAGAGAGAAGCATGTTTTGGAAAAGGAAATTGAGATGTATAAGCAAACGTTAGATTCTCGAGAACAATTTGAGCAGGACTTTGATATTAAGCATAGCATTTTTGAAGAAAAAAAGGGTACTTTGAATGATTCATCAGACAATCCTATGATGATGCTACGACAAATATATAAATACATTGAGAAGAAAGAAGTTTCAGATGGTTTTGGAATGGAATCATTTTCAGCTGTGAATTCAAGTGGAGTTTCTTCATATCATGGTAATTCAATAATGGATTGTGTTGTGGCGGGGAAGCATACTGAATTATTAAACATCGGAGATGAATTTAAACAAGACATTGGTGAAAGTAGCATGCTAACAACGCAGATCAAGCAATCTTCTAATATACTAAATTTTAGCCATGCAGATGAGTCAAGCTTGTGTAATTTGAATTCTCCTTTTGAAGATGAGTACAACAAGGATATTTTAGATTTAAATGTTAGAGATGAAGGAGATGGTGGTATTCGAATTGAGATGAGTGTTCCTGATAATGATTTATTTAGAATAGAGAGCTGTGTCCTTGATCAACGAGACAGTAAATCTTTTCTGCCGGAAACTGAATCAAGAATTCATGGCGTTCATATTATCAATAATGGTCAGTTTTTTCAGGTTGAAGAAAATAGCAAACAAAATGATGATAAATTTTTTCATGTTGAGGAAAATGGTAAACAGAATGCCATTCCTCTTCAAGCATCTTCATGTACAAATTTCAATGAAATGGAACCACACATCCAAAGAAGTTGCTCAGAAATCACAAATAGGACCGGACAAAAGTGCAGCTTGTCTACTAGAGGTTCATTTCTTGATTTAAAGAGGAGTTCATTGCCGTCTATTGAAAGTGAAAAGTTTAAGCTTGGGAATGAAGTTGAGCGCTTAAGGAAGAGATTAAAAATAATTAGACAGGGTAGAGAGAAGCTGAATTTGTCTACAGACCACAAGGAAAAGGAATGCTTCCAGCTACAACTACTTGATGAGATTGTGTGCCAACTTGAACAAATCAAGAAAGTATCAGAGTCAACTAAAAGTTTTCGCCAAGCTTCATTACCTCCTCTATTACCCAAGGTGCTCTCCTAAATTATGCTTGTAGCTAAAATTATCCTCATGTAACTCTATGAAACCTCTTGCTATTGCATTTTCTTTTGAGTTATTATTTCTGTTAAATTGTAATATTTAGCAATGCTTTTAGTTAGTTTTATCTATACTTAATGTACAATGTACCTTCTGATACGAGCATTCTGTGGATCAACAATCTTTTGGGAAGTTTAGATGGATATCCCACCCATGCTAGCAGTTCCATTCTCGTGCCATATTATGGTTATTTTACAGCTTATTGGTTTTTGAGAATGAGACAAATATATATGATATTATAAGATTTTGCTATCAAATTATTTAGTTTTAAGCATGATATAAATGATAGAACTGTATAACTACGATATTGCTTGCTCTTTTGTGTAGTTTGGATGTAGTTTTAAATGTCAATTTGCATCATGAATACTTAGAAGCCTGCCCTGACCTTGGTTTATGATACAAAAAGGTTGATATAAGTAATTTTAGGTCATGCAATATTACATCATGTGCTTAAACCTATATTGTTTAAGTTTCACTTGATTTTCCATCAATAATGATTGATATTTGCAGAATTTTGTATATGCTAATATCATGTATCATATACTTCTTGTTTATTTCATTAGTTCTAAGCTCCTATTTTTTCAGTATTTTTCTATTTATTTAATTCAAAAGATGTATTGCCTATCATCAAGTTAGGTCATCTGCAAATAATATAAATCAAGTTTCCTTGCTTTAGTTATTTTAAGCATCTTCACTCTAATGTAGAAAAATATCCTAAACTTGATTTTATTTAACTATGAAACTCTTTTATAACTCCATTACTAAACCTAATCCCAATCACTTTTCAGTCAACACTTCGTGAACGATATTAGCACACATTCTTGTTAATAATCAAATCTAATTGTTCTTGACCATTCAATATTAATATAAATTTAATGTTGTGACTTTAATGACTTTATTTTTCAATTGGTTCTTTGAGCATAAAAATCATCCATATCATCAATATTCTTTCTTTAAAATCTGTTTGAATTCCTCCAATGCTGAATGCAATTTTTTACATTCTATCATGCAATTTCTTCCATAGTTCTATTGCATTCTGTTAAAAGTTTAATTCCTTTAAAGTTACCACAATTTTGATTATCTTTTTGATTAAACGTTTGTATCAAGACATCTTTTCTCTAATCTTTTAGCAATACATTATTCTTAAATTTTTCTTTCCATTGGTTTGTTAGCCAAAATTCACCATTATGTTTTGCAACTCTCGAAAGTCTAATCGTTGTCATTTAGTGTCAAATCCATGTAGCTTATATGGACAAAGTGGATAATATCTCATTAAATGACAGTTTTGAGTTATTACATTTCGACATCAGGTTTTGCTTTTATGCTTTTTTTCAAAACTATCTCGACTTTATATTCTTAGATTAAATTACATTATACTTTCTGTTTTTGTATATTTTGTTTTATTTCAATAACTTTTTATTATTATTAATTTTTTTTGCTTAACAAGTAAAAACCCTATGCGAATGCATGAAAACGCAGTACTTTTAATAAATTTATTTAGACTCAATCCAACGAGGTCTCTGTGCGTTATAACAAATGACATCATAACTTTTCATATGGGCAGCAATTTATTTCAAATGAGATGTCAAACTTACATAATATATATCAGTACAATGTTCAGCTACACTTTCCAAGAAAAATGTTCTAGATAAGTGTATAGTTTGTTATTCAACTAAAAAATAAATAAACTTACATGTTATCTCTAGTTCTGAAATTGTCGAAAGATAAGAGGACCAGAGTATGGATACCAAGGAAAGTGAAAAGAGCAAACTGTTGACATTTTAAAGTATAATTCTCTGATTGTCGCAGTCTAATATATTTTTTTATAAAGTGCAAGTGCAATTATAAAAATTAGAGAATATAGAGAAAAAGCATGTGAAACTCTCAATTTTATTGTCAAAATAAATTGTTTAGGAAGAACTAAAAGGTATTAAATGAAAACAGAAGAAACCAACCCAATGATACCTCAAAATAATTACGTGTTAAAGAATGCACCATGACTTGCAAATATCAATTATTTCTTCAGATATAAAAACTGTATACCAGTGAAAAATTTGTATCATTTGTCTAATCTGATTTTTTCAGTTGGTGTTAATTTAAACAAAATTGCAACCATGTACAAAGCAATTGCTGAATCCTAGTGAGCAATGAATTTTTTTTTATGGTTTATATTAATTTCAACTTCAAAAAGTATTATTTGATTTTGAAAATCAATAAACCATGACAATAATCACATGCGCAGAAGAAAATCTCATTGGCCTTCCCTTTGACAGAATGCTTACCATCAATCTCAATGGTATGTAAAAATTCAAACCCCATCGCCTTAAAAAAAATAAGGATTAATTACACTTGTCTTGCCTATAGCTGGTTAATCGTATATCTTCACTTCATTTTATGAAGTTACACTATGTTCCTCTGTTAGATATTGTATTACACAGTGTAATTTTAAAAGTAGGAGAATATAGAGAAAAAGCATGTGGAAACCCCCAATTTTTTGCGGAAATAAATTTTCTAGAACTAGAAGGTATTAAATGAAAACAGAAGAAAGCAGCCCAACGATAACTCAAAATAATTACGTATTAAAGAATGCACCATGAATTGCAAATATTAATCATTTTTTTTAATATAAAAACTGTATATCTGTGAAAAACCTTCATCACTTAACTAATCTAATTTTTTAAATTGGTGTTACTTTAGTCAAAATAGCAAACATGTAGAACGCAATTGCAAAAACAGTCTCATACAAAGTCATATCAGTCCATGTTTGTTTGAATCTGTTACGCCGGCGCCTAAGGGTCATGTAGTGTTTTCTTATTTATTATTTTTTAGTGTAAATAGGGCTAATATTAGAATTAGGGCTATGCATGAGATTGTCATCTTGAGTATTAAGATTAAGGTTTGGGAGAGATCACCTACCTCCGTTTGTAGTTGTTAGGATTGGGGTTTGGGGGAGATAGCCTGCCTCTCGAATTACAAATGTTTATCTTTTATGCATTTGAGTGTGTTGTTTGTGATCCTGAAATAAAATATTTTGTTTTGGCCTAATTTTTGTAAAAAATGGTCACCTATTCATGTCAAATCTGTATCAGAGCATTTGATTAAGGGAACCAATGTTGGGATCGTGGCATTCAGTTGTTGCTTCTCGGATCAAGATAAAAACCTATAATATTCATGACCTAACCCCGCAAAATAGTCTCAATTAGATCTAGCTGGGAAGCCAACCACGGGACCGCGGTGTATAGTAACCCAATTGTGTGAAATTGCCGTGATTGAGTTAGTTGGGAAGCAACAACTATACGCGTACTGAGCAAACAACGGGATCACATATAGAGCAAACGATAGGATTGAGCGACAATTCCCTAGCTTTCCCTTCGCGATTCATAATGGACCACGTTGGATTGAGCAATAGGATCACCACTTACAGAAATTTTGAATCGCTACGTACACTGGAGATCGAGCTTAATTTTTGCATTGTTACCTTTCCTTAGCAATTCATAGCCACACATCACACTCTAGGAAACAATCAGATCACAATGCACAAAAAATTCACTTCCGTGAAAGAAACTTTCCCTGAGAGTATTGGCGACCAAGAAAATAGATTATCTAGAAAAAAATTAGAGAAAGAGGTGAATCAAATCAGGTCAAAAATGAAGAAGTGTCATCCATGGAGGTTCAACTTTTATGTATGGAGGGAGGATTCATGTTTATAGAAGCCATGATGAAGAAGATTGTGCAGTTTCATGCAAACTTATCAGGGGACTGAGCGACGGTGTCAAGAATGGACGTGAGCTACGATGATTGGAAGGATTCATGCGAAATCAGGATAGCGTCACTGCTTTAGGTGGCTGGTGCTGCGGGGTCGAGTGCAGGAATTAGGAGCTGACTGAGCTGCAACAATCTGAAGGATTTGCGCGACATCAAGACAACTTCGTGTCTTAGGCGGATCTAAAGCCATGGGATTGAGCAAAAAAAATGGGAGCGGGCTCGAGCATGCAATAATCTTTAGACCGGGGGTTTCTTCCATCAGTTTGAGTCCATACCTCTACCTCCATGTACAAAAGGACGAGATTGAGAGATGTATCCGAGAGATGTTGGAGTTCGGGATAAAACAGCCTAGAGCAACCTCCTTTTATAGCCGAGTCTCATTAACGAAGAATGATGGATGTTGGTGTTTCTATGTGGATTGACAAATTTCTCATCTCAATGGCTGATGAGCTATTGGATGAGTTGTTTGGGGCTGCAATATCCTCCAAGTTAGACTTGATGTTAGGGTACTAACATGTTCGAATGTGACCGAAAGATTCACACAAGACTACATTTTGAACTCATGAAGGTCACTATGAATTTTTGATTAAATGGATATGATTGCTAGATGAGGACGTGATGTGGGAGCCAAACAACTTGATTCAGTAATAATTATTTTTTTTTTACATTGAGGACAATGTGTCTTTTGGAGAAAGAATATTGTTATGCCGACGCCTAAGGGCAATTTAGCTCGTTATTATTTATTATTGTGTAGAATGAAGAAGATAATATTATTTATTATTGCTAAGAAAGGCAGAGGCGGACCAAAAAAAACTTGGGCATATTGTATAAAAAATAATCCAAATCTATTAAACTTAAATGGAAATATGACACTCAATAGGACACAATGGAGAAAAAGGATTCTTGTAGCCGACTTTACTTAGTGGGATAAAGGCTGCTTGTTGTTGTATGAAGAAAGCTATTATGTTTAGGGTTAGAATTTTGCATGAGATTATTGTCTTGATTGTAGGCACTCATCTTTTATGCGTTTGAGTGTGTTGTTTGGGATGTTGAAATAAAATATTTTGTTTTGTCCAAACTTTTGTAAAAAGTCATCTCCAATTCGTATCAAAATCCTAGTGAACAATGATTTTTATGATGTATATTAATCTCAACTTCCAAAAATAGTA